CAACCCTGGGGGGGACGAGCCCCGTCCCCGCAGTGTGCCGTGGCTAACGCGTGTGACTAACCGGGATGGGGGTTTTGGGGCTGCCGCTCACCCTCCCACCACCGCTCTGGCCCCGCAGAAAAACTTTGAGGAGCCCATCGCCCTGCAGGAGATGGACACAAGCAATGGGGTCCTGCTGCCCTTCTATGACCCCGACTCCAGCATTGTCTACCTCTGTGGGAAGGTAACCCCCCAGGCACCCCCCCGCCATGTCATCCTGTCCCTGGGGGTGCTGGGGCCGGCTGACACCCCTCCCCACACCCACAGGGGGACAGCAGCATCCGATATTTTGAGATCACGGATGAGGCACCCTACGTGCACTACCTGAACACCTACAGTAGCAAGGAGCCGCAGCGGGGCATGGGCTTCATGCCCAAGCGCGGGCTGGATGTCAGCAAGTGCGAGATTGCCAGGTGAGAGCTGGGGGGGACTGGGGGGAGGCGGAGGGGTCGGGGGGAGCAGCCGGACCCTGACCACCTCTGCCCCACACAGGTTTTTCAAGCTGCATGAGCGCAAGTGCGAGCCCATCGTCATGACGGTGCCGCGCAAGGTGAGCCCGCAGGGGTCCCGGGGGAGATGGGGGGGTCTGGGGGTGCCACCCCATCTCACTGCCATCTCCCTTGCCCCTGCAGTCAGACCTCTTCCAGGACGACCTGTACCCCGACACGCCGGGCCCCGAGCCGGCCCTGGAGGCGGACGAGTGGCTGTCAGGGAAGGATGCGGAGCCCATCCTCATCTCGCTGCGGGACGGCTACGTCCCCGTCAAGAACCGGGAGCTGAAGGTGGTCAAGAAGAACATCCTGGACAGCAAGCCCCCCCCGGGCCGCCGCCACAGCCACTCCACCTGCAATCCCGACTTCTCTGTGAGTGTCCTGGGGATGGGACATCTGGGGTGGGGCTGGGGGGGCCGTAGGGGGCTCCCCCGTGACTCCACGTGTCCCCCAACCCTGCAGCAGCCAGCCTTGGAGGAGGTGCTGGAGGAGATCCGTGCCCTGAAGGAGACGGTCCAAGCACAGGAGAAGCGCATCTCCGACCTGGAGAACAAACTCTGCCAGTTCACCAACGGCACGGACTAGCGCGGCGGCCATGGCCACGGGCAGGGCAAGGACTGCCCCGGCCCCCCCGGGGATTAAAGCCAAGTCCCTGCAGAGGGCAGGAGCCCAGAGCCATGTTCTTTCCCCAGGAGGCAAGGCTGCAGGGAAGGGGTCAGACCCTGACCCCCCACCACTGGCATCGGTCGCATCCTGCTCCCGGGGTGGCCCAGCACATCGGCACCCTGCTGCGGCGTCCGGGGGGGGTCCCGCTTCGGTGCCCACAGGCTGGGGCTGCTGAGCATCCCTCCTCGGGGACCTGCAAACTGGGCGCCAGCATCCTCCCAGGATAGGGGGCTGCCGGGCCCCCCGGCCAGGATGTGCTTGGGTACGGTGCTACACCCCCCAACCCCCCCCCCCCCCCCCCTCCCCCCCCCCCTTCCCCCCCCCCCCCGCTGCCCGCCGTATCTAAATAGCTTTTATGGCCTTAATGGCAGCAATATTTGTGCTCCCCCACCCTCAGCACGATAACTGTGGAGCCGCTGCGCTGCCACCACGCTGCTGCCAGCCTTTCCCTCCTTCCCAGGTCCCACTGGTTGCGCCGGGACTTTGGACGTCCCCGGGCACCCACCTGCGGGGGGCTGAGGGGTGCTGCTGCCCGTGGTG